CTTCTTGTGGAAGGTTTTTTCTGGTCGAGCCCCTACTGTTAAATCTGGCGTGTCCCTCTACAGGAGGAATATTCAGAAATTGACAAAACATAGTCTGGGGACTGTTTTTTCTAGTACTTCGGAGTACGTTCGAGCATGTGTTAACTATTTCGCTTTTCCGTCCAAAATCCCCCTGTAGGGGGACATGCCCGACCTAACCCTACTGTACACTTTTTCATGACGGCGGGTGTGTGCACATGTTCTGCCTCCCGCGGGCTCGCGCCGCAGCGGAGGAGGAGGAGGAGGAGGAGGAGAAGGAGGAGGAGGAGGAGGGCCAGTCGAGGCAGCGGCAGCCGTCCCGACGTTCGGTCTTCGGAGGTCCTCCTCCTCCTCCTCCTCCTCCTCCTCCTCCCCTCCTCCTCCTCTCCTCTTCCTCCTCCTCCGCCTCCTTCTCCTCCTCCTCCCCTCCTCCTCCCTTCCCTCCTCCCTCCCCTCCTCCTCCTCCCCTCCACCTCCTCCTCCTCCCCCTCCTCCTCCTCCTCCTCCTCCTCCTCCTCCTCCTCCTCCTCCTCCTCCCCCTCCTCCTCCAGGGGCCGCTTTCGAGCGGAGCCGGGCCGGGCGGGTGAGCCGCTGCTGTCGCAACAGGCTTTCCTGCGAGTCGGCTCGAGTCGGATCGCTGGCACTGCCTCGCAGTCAGGCCAGAGGCGCCCCCCCAGTCAAGCAGCGGCGAAGCGTCCTGATGTGCCTGTAGGCCTGTAGGCCGACCAAGCAGTGTTCTAAGAACTTCTTGTGGTGTCCACGAGATGTTCATAGAATCTTCCTGGCCGGGACTGTTTTGTTTTCACACATCGGGCTCATGCTCTAAGAGCATTGGTCTTGTTCTTAGAACATGTTTGGTGTCTAAGAGCATGTCGTGGTAGGCCTATAGGAATGCCAGAACGCGCGGTCCCTGCTCAACCCCTGGCCTTCACGAGCTGCTGGCGACCAGCACGGACATGCCATGGTGCCCACATCGCAGAGCGGACGTCGGTCGGACAGCCATGGGATGGGCCCCGGTTATCCTGGAGAAGGGCGCTCCGGATTTCGAGGTGAATTTCGTGCGGAGTTTTGTCGGCCAGGAACGAAGACGATTTTTTATTGCCAGATCCACGCAGAAATCCGCTGCCGCACGTCTGCAAGTTCGGTGCAGCGAGACCTGGGCCGCCAACTTGGCACGCGCCCTGTGGTGTGCCAGCGGCCGGTCGAAAGAAGCATCAGGAACGGACAGAATTTCCCCTCCATCGCTTTCCCATCCTGCTCTTCGTGGCGCCTGACCCCTCTTGCGGGCAATATGTATATCCATATCCAGCGCGTCTTGGACTTTCTTGGAGGAAAGGGCGCTACAAGTCCGAGGCGCACTGGATGTGGATAAAGATCGAGCCTCCAAGGGGTCAGATTTTTTTAAATCAATATCCAGTGCGCCTCGGGCTTCTGGGGAAGTGAGCCCTCAAAGCCATGCTGCAGTGGATGTGGACAGAAGTATTGCCCGCACCTGTCAGCAGAAGCAGGTTGTGACCGAACAGAGTCACAGCAAATCGCGCGGCCAGAACTGAAGCCGAATCTGAAAACCGTTTGGGTTTCGGGCAACAGAGATCTGTCACTCTCGGGCGCGTCCCGAAAACATCGGGCGCCAGTTTCGGCCTCCCTCGGGCAGACGTTCCGGCACGGACCCGGCCACGACGGCGCCCCCGTGACCGAGACGAGGCTGCGTGATGATTATCCTCAAGATGCTGAGACGAGGTGTAGCTCGTGATGGGCCAATTTTCCACCACCGCTAGCATAAGTAGGACGGGGGAGAAGGGAGGATGGGGAGGTCCTCGTCGTCCTCCTCCTCCTCCCCCCCCCTCCTCCTCCTCCTCCTCCTCCTCCTCCTCTTCCTCCTCCTCCTCCTCCTCCTCCTCCTCCTCCTCCTCCTCCTCCTCATCATCATCATCATCATCATCATCATCATCATCATCATCATCATCATCATCATCATCATCATCCCTCTTCTACCCATGGTGGTGGTGGTGGTGGTGGTGGAAAACTGACCCATCAGTTCGGGTTCGCACGGGGCTCGCCGTTCCTGAGGTCCTTCCACGGTCCATTGTTGTTCCTCCAAGCGCCCCTCGTGCGCCCAGGTGCCTTTGGGGCCACAGCGGGGCGCCGTTTCTCATGCCGGATAGGCCTCACGGCCGGTTCCGCCGACCCTGGGGGGACCGGGCGGCCTCGGAACAGCCGCGAGGGAGCCAGGGAGCCCATTCGGACAGGTCTACGATGATCCCAGGGCGGCCTGAAGATCAGCTCTGAGAGTCGAGAAGGGGCAAAAAACCGTGGAGCCTCCAGCTTAGTTGCCCTCGGCCCGTCCTGCCGGTCGTGGACCAGAGGCCTCTTGATGCACGACGACGGTCTCTTGGGATGCCTCTCGGAGGCCTCCTGGAGGGCTCCTGGCCTCTCGGGGGCCTCCGCGGGGCCTCCGCGGGGCCTCCTTGGCGCCGCTGGGGTATTTTTTCGGGGCCTCTTAGGGGCCTGCCGGCGGTCTCGGGGTCATCGCGGGGCGGGAGGCTCGAAACCTCAGTTCCTGCCGCCCCTCTTGGACATCTCGGGCTGGACGAAGGGGGGGGATGGGGAAAGGGGGGGTGACGAAATCTGCTGCATGCAGCTGGTTTCGGCCCCACCGAGGGGCCCAATTCCTCAATACATGGCCGCCTCCGGCGACGGGAGGCGCCGGGAAAATCAGCTACGTGAGCTGATTCTCAAACACCCCCTTTGCTATCCCCCCTTTCGCCCGGCCTCCTGCTCCTCCTCCCCCTCCTCCTCCTCCTTCCTCCTCCTCCTCCCCTCCTCTTCCTCCTCCTCCTCCTCCTCCTCTCCTCCTCCTCCTCCTCTCCTCTCTCCTCCTCCACACCTCCTCCTCCTCCTCCTCCTCCTCTCCTCTCCTCCTCCTCCTCCTCCTCCTCCTCCTCCTCCTCCTCCTCCTCCTCCTCCTCCTCCTCCTCCTCCTCCTCCTCCTCCCCCCCTTTCGCCCGGCCCGAACATCTCGGGGCCCACGTGGGGCGTCTTGGAGGGCCTCTTGGGCCCTCTTGGAGGCTCTTTTTGGGGCCGTGGGGGGCGCCTCGTGGCCGTCCTGCGGCGACCCTTTGAGACCGCGTGGGCCGTCTCGGAGAGAGCTGGAGGACGGAGCGGGCGAGAACGCCCAAACCCTTACAGCATCGGGGCATCAATGAAGCTTGCCTCGTAGAGCCCTCGTGGGGGTCCTCTCGGGGCCCTCGTGGGGCGTATTGGGGCCGTTTCGGGCGTCCTGGGCCGAGCTTGCCGAAAGAGGCCCGAACTGAGTTGAGGAGGGTGGGCGAACTTCGACGGGGGGCGAAGCCGCTCCTGGTCTGGGACGCATGTCACTCAAGAGGGCTGGGGGGGGGGTTTTCCTCGACTTGAGCACGACTTGGGACGATCTCCCTCAGGCAGGCGAACCTGAGGAGGAGGGCCCCGGCTGGCCGCAGCGTGAGGGGGATAGAGCCTCGAGTGGGTGGAGGTGAAGCTCCTCCCTGGACCACCCCAGGACGAGCGCCTTGGGCACGATTAGTGGGGGGCGACAAGCGAGGGGGAAGGAAGGTGCCTTTCTCGGGTCCTGAAGGGATCGTTTTCTGCAGCCCTCGCTGTCCCCCTATTGATTGCCCCCTATCAGTTCGCGCCCAAGCGCCCCGTGATTCCCACCCCCGATGGTCACGTCGCCTTCCCCGCCGTTCGCCGCCCCCACAGCGGCGCCCTCAGAGCTCGTCTTTGGAGGCCTTCGCGGCGCAGGATTTGGCTCCGGCTTCTCCGCCTCCGCCTCCTTTGAGTCCTTGTCCTCCAGCGTCGCCGCCTAGGATGCCCTCTCACACACGCCTACTGGGTCGTCGGATTTGGCGTTCCGTGTGGTCGCTACTTGAATGCATTCCGATAACTCCCCTCTGTCGGTTTCCTGGCACCCAGCACCCACCCACACCCATTGTTCCAGTGCGCCTTTACAGGGTAATTGCTGCACTATTGGACCGCATCCTCCCTTCCGCGTTGCCTTTCTTGCTTGCCTGTCCTCTCCTCTTACGTCCTCGGCCCCTCCTCCTCCTCCTCCTCCTCCTCCTCCTCCTCCTCCTTCTCCTTCTCCTCCTCCTCCTCTTCTTATCAATATGTTCCTTGTTGTTCTAGCATCCGGCCTCGTGAGAGAGGAGGGGGAAGGAGGGGGTAGGAGGGCGAAAGACGATGAGGAGGATGACGGGTGGAGGAGTAGGACTCCTACGCCTATCCCATATCCATTCCCTATGCTGGACCTCCGTGCTCTTTGTCCCCTCCAACAAGCGACCTCGCCTCGCATGCAATGGACGAGGGGCGGGCCATCAGTGGGAGGGGGGGGCACTAGCAGAAAGGGAGCAACGAGTGGGCCAACGATCCTCCAATAATGAAGCTCCGGATCCTCAGGTCGGTCCTTCCGCCTCTGCCGCGGTCAAGGAACCCGCACGACCTCTGTCAGAAGCTCTTGGGCTAGTTGATCGGAGAGCGCCGTTCCACAGTACTGATCACATCAGTCTGGAACCCACGGTCACGAGGTCAAGATGAGATCCTTTCTCAGTCGGTCGAATCACCACGCGAGTTACGCTTGCGCAGTGTAGTTTGACAATGGGAGCGAGCGCGCATATTGCAATACTTTTGGTGAGGGGATGCGCGGGGCAGATTGGTGGTGCAAAGCGGTGAGATCCCAAAACTTTTCAATGGTGGTGATTCGAGAGCAGCTAATGGAGCGACTGGTGAGTATCTAGCGGGTGCGATGAGTTAGCCAGTAGCTCGTAAGGCTGTTGGTGAGACGCTGGTGGGGACGATCAGCGAGCACGCTGGCGGGAAGCCGCTGGTGGGGAGACAGGCGAGAGCCTCCGGGGAGTAGAGCGCATGCCCCAGCCCCGCCCCTTTTGCTCGCCTCCGACCTCCTGCGTGGCAGCCGCCGGCCTCCTCCTTCCTCCCCCGGCCCCTCCTGCCCCGGCTCCTCCGTCACCAGCTTCCCGAAAGGCGCCGCGGGGGGAGGGGGCGGCGGCGGGGCAGGGAAGGGGCGGGGGCACCGGAAGGCGAGTCGGAAGCAGGGGCAGGGGGTGGGCGTGCGGCAGTCAGGAGGGAGAAAATAGCACACAGACACAATTTAATCGTCGATTCCCGAGAAAATATGGGAAAATATGGGAAGTGGGGGGGGGAGACGAAAACCCCAGAATTATTGGAAAATATGGGGAATATGTTTTATTGAATCGCTTCGCTCATTCCGCCGGCCCTCGAGCGCTCTATGGGGCATTTTTGAAGCCTCTTGAGGGCCTCTTTGGGGCCTCCTCGGGGCCTCTTGGGGGCCGTTTGGGGGTCTCTTGGGGCTCCTTGGCGGCGTCTTGGGGCCCCCTTGGGCCTCTTGGAGGGCTCTTGGGGCGGGGTAGTCGAGTGCACCCCCTCGGAGGCCACGATCCTCGTGAGGGGTGTCGAAAACAGGCCCTCAAAACCATCTCTGAGTAGACCTGCTCGGGCTGCGGTCGGGATACTCTTCGCCGGGGGAGCCCCAGGGGCCGCCCCGCGCGCGCGAACTAGAAATACTGTTGGCCCGCCTCTGGCCCGTTGGGCTGGCCTGTTGGCCCGCTTCTGGCCCAGAGAGCTTAGCACGCCTCTGGCCCGTTGGGCTGGCGAATTTGCGTGTATCTATTCGTGTGTCCTGGGGCCCCCTCAGGCAGGGCGGCGGGGCCAGGGAGGGATGGCGGGGCCACACGCCTGCAGCCTGCAGCGCCAGCCTTCGGGCGAGAAATCGGGGCTTCCCAGCGGGGGTCCGAACAGGAGGGACTGCTCCTCCTCCTCCTCCTCCTCCTCCTCCTCCTCCTCCTCCTCCTCCTCCTCCTCCTCCTCCTCCTCCCTCCAACCTCCTCCCTCCACCCTCCGCCCTCCACCCTCCACCCTCCACCCTCCACCCTCCACCCTCCACCCTCCTCCTCCTCCTCCGCCTCCTCCTCCTCCACCTCCTCCTCCACAACCTCCTCCTCCTCCGCCTCCTCCTCCTCCTCCTCCTCCTCCTCCTCCTCTCCACCTCTCCTCCTCCTCCCCCCCCCCCGGGGGGTCCGAGCAGGTGGGGTCGGAGGGTCGCGCCGCCTCACCGATGCATCGGCGGCGCGGCTCGGTGAGGGGCCCGACTTTCTGCACACCGATGGCGCCGATGCATCGCCGACGTCGCCGATGCACGGGCGATGCATCGGCGACATGGCGCGATTCTCCGACCCCCTCTACTCGGATTCGATGTGGGAGGCCTCAGATAAGGAGGTGTGGTGGGGGGGATGGGATGGGTGCAGCCTCCAGTTTGCGACTGGCGTCGGATCTAAGATAGAGACCGATCTATATATCTTTATAGTTATGCACGTATTAATAGACGTTGTCAAAAACGCACATGTATACAGATGTACATATATATAGATACACATGTGTGTGCGTCCGTCTTGGTCCCCCCTTCTGTCGGTCCCCGCGATCTGGCCGTTCGGCCCCACTACCCGATCTTTTTTTGTCTCGATCTCATTATTTCTTCATCAATCGACCCCTATCGGCTTCACCTCCTGTTTACAGATGGGACCACCAATGGACGACCGCGGGACAGCCGTGGGACCACTGCGGGACACCCCCAGGACAACCACGATGCAACCCACGGGAAGACGTCTTGATCGCGCCACCCCCCACCCCCCCACTCGCCGCGGGCAGGGCCCCTGACGCCCGCCGAGATATGATGTGTACATGCTTCCCTGGTTAAGTCGGGGCCAGGACTGCGTAGACACCGCACCAGAGCCCAGGATGGGCCTGGCCAGGGCCAGTGGATGTGCATGGGCTCAACGAAGAAAAAAACGCCATGCACATAAACTTTTGGCGCTCCGCGCGGATTTCTTGGATCCGCGCTGGGCCTCCACGGCGGCGCCTCTGGCGCCGCCCCTGGCGCGCTCCGCGCGCCAGGGAGGGGGTCTAGCGCAGGTCCAAGAAATCCGCGCGGAGCGCCAAACGTTTATGTTGCGAAGGCCTTACGGCCGGTGCCACCGACCCCGCATGGCGGCGACGACCACGGCCACGACGACGAAGCCCTCGGGGGCCGCCTGGGGGCGGTTTGGCGGCCCCTTGGGGAGCTCTTGGGGGGCCGCGTGGCGCTTGGGAGCCTCGTGGGGGCCTCTTGGGGCCTTTCCTCCTTCTTCCGTGGACCTCGCCGTCCAATGGTGGGCCAGGCCTGCCGCCCGCCGTGCGGAGGCCGCGGCGCTCCTCCTACCCGGCCCTCCCGTCGGGGCAGGTCTCGTGCCCCGGATACACTCTCTTGGTGGCCCACGCAGGCCGAGGAGGAGGAGGAGGAGGAGGAGGAGGAGGAGGAGGAGGGCAAGGAGGGCAAGGAGGAGGAGGAGGAGGAGGAGGGCGAGGTGGGCGAGGAGGGCGGGGAGGAGGAGGAGAGGATAAGGAGGAGGATGAGGAGGAAGGGAGTTGAGTTAGTAGGGTAGGATAAGAAGGGCCAGGATACACGAGTAGGGCGTGGCGTCGTAGGATGGACGCTGAAGGACGAAGCTGGTCGTAGTGTGTAGGGGGAGGGCAGGGAGGACGAGGGGGACGGGGAGGGCGAGGAGGACGAGGAGGACGAGAAGGAGGATTGGGAGGACGAGGAGTAGGAGGACGAGGAGGACGAGTCGGGCGAGGAAGACGAGAAAGACTTACAGGAACCACGCCGGGAGGGAACACAGCAGATATGTGTCGGAGGCCTGGGCCCTCTCTCGCCGCCGGCCGGCCGAGGTGCGTGCAGCGGCTGCGGGGCGACTCCCTGCTGAACAGCAGCGCGTGGTGGCACTTCGAGGCGCGCGGCAGCACCAGCAAGAAGGCGCGCCTCGCCCGCCGCCGCCCTCGGGCCCGTCGGGGCGCCTCGGATCGACGAGCAACAAGCTGCGGAAACATGAACGGTGGGCGCTCCGCGCGGCTGCCTTGGATCTGCCCTGGGCCCCCCTGGCGGCGTCTCCGGCGCCGCCCCTGGCGCGCGGAGCGCGCCAGGGAAGGGGGCCGAGTGCAGATCCAAGACATCCGCGAGGACCGTCGCAGGTTTATCTTTATGCCGTTTGGTGTTTTTCTATCGGAGGGGCTCGCTGCGCACCCCGCGCCGTTTGGTCCTCGTCCTCTCTGGGGCGCCCGGGGCCCTCGCAGCAGCCAGTCCAGCTGGAGAGCTGCCGCAGAAAGCATGGCACCTGCAAGCCCGGACCCTGCAAGCCAGGCTCTGGAAGTTCCAGCTGGAGGGCGGAGACTGGAGAGTGCTTCGGTCCACGGCTGCAGTGTTCGCGGGCGCGCCAAAGTCAGAGTTGCGGCTGCAGCGTTTGCGGGCGCGCCAAAGCCAGAGCTCTGGTTCATCAGAGGCCCCACTTGCGGGGCCTTGAAGAGGGATTCGGGATGACATTTATCGGGTTGGGGGATAGGGTTAGGAGAAATGAGGACATCATTACCCGTAGGCGGTCGAAGGTATCGTGCATTGCATCCGAATGCTATTGCTCATACCCTTCATCCTCTCAACCCCTTCCTCCCAACACGAGAATTATTCCCCTCAGAGATGGGGTCCGGGTCTCTGGCCGTGATGTCTTGCGATGCTGTTTTTCTTTGTGCTGCGTCGGATCCCAGTGGAGGGGGATCGAGGCTCGAGGCTAGAGGGTCAATCAGGGGCAACGCTCGGGGGGGAGATTGGCCCAGGGTGGAACGCATCGATCCACAATCACCCACGGATCGTCGATAAGGGCCCGATAGCCCCACCCCGCCCAGGCACCTGCGGGTTCGCCATCGGGGGCCTTACGGTAAACCCGCATAGTTTGGATGGGCAACCTTCCCAAGGGTACCCTTGCATCCTTGCCTCCTCGGCCCATCTCTGGCCGCTTTCGCTGGCCGCGCCCCGCCCCCAAAGCGTCGACGTGACCTTCCATGGCCCTTGCATCCTTACCGCGCATCCTTATCATACGGGTTGACCGTATCGCCGAACTATTGGCGATGTATCGCCGATGCCATATCGCCGAACTATTGGCGATGTATCGCCGATGCCAGGCTGATGATTCCCCCTCTGGGCTGGTCACACACACACACACAACACCCAACGTTTTGCCCCTCCGTCGATCCTTTTCTCTTTTTGGCTTCCGCGCTGCCTTCGGGCCAGAGCGCCGAGCTCGCGGATGGTGGCGGGAGTGCAGAGGGCCCTCCTCCCTCCTCCCTCCTCCCTCCTCCCTCCTCCCTCCCCCCTCCTCCCTCCTCCCTCCCTCCTCCCTCCGCCCTCCTCCCTCGATCAGCTCCCGAGGCCTCCCCGCTCGCCGTCCCCCTGCGCGGGGCTCTCCGCCCGCCGCGGGGCCCTCTTCTGCGAGGCCGCGGCCTCCTCTCTGGCGAGCGCCCTGGCGAGCGCCCTGGGCGAGCGCCCCCCGGGAGCGGCCCATGCCCAGCTCGGCGCTCGGATCCCAGTCGCCCATCCTCGTGGAGGACGAGCAGTGGAGAGGAAGCCTGCTGCCAAGTAATTCCCAGATGTCTGAAACATGTTTCAAGCATGGTCGAAATGTGTAAAGACGTGTTGGAAACATGTTTAGAACATGTCTTGCACATTTTTAACACACTTTGAATTCAATGATAGGATTGTTTGGGTGTCCATTGTCATGGCATCCACAAGTCTATCCTCGACCCCCTCGACCTTCGAAGGCTCAGTCCTCGACCCTCGATCCTCGGGCCTCGGTCGTCGATGCTCGAGTCCTCGAGTTCTTCGCTCCTCGGTCCTCGAATCTCGCCCCCCTCGAGCCTCGAATCTCGGTTGTCGATCCTCGATCCTCGAATCGCAGTCGTCGATCCTCGATCCTCCTCCTCCTCGAGTCCTCGATCCTCGACCCTCGACCTCGAGTCTGAGTCGGCGATCCTCGATCCTCGGAATCTCGTCCGACGGCGGCCCGCCGAAGGCCTGCAACGACCGGGTGCAGAGCTTCGACGCGCAGTGCGTCGACGGCAGGGCGTCGATGCTGTGGGTCGTCGGCAAGGCCCTGCGGCGGGGGAGCGAGCGCGGAACGGAGCAGCTCGGTGCGGAGCGCCAGAGGAGCACACATTGTTCCTTTCTAAGTATTCGAGAGTGCTTTGATTTTTTGGGGGGCCAAGATCCTTCCATTCCTAAGTGTTCTATCCTGGGCCTCTTCCGGGCCACCAGGGGGTCAGGAACAAGCACAAACGAGCACAATCAGGAATGAGCACGATTAGAAATGAACGACGTGTAAGGTTTAGCCGGGCATGTCCCTCAACATGAAGGAGTACTCAAGAACGCTCAAAAAATATGGGGACGATTTTTCTTGGCCTCATGACTATGTGGGAGCGTTTTTCACTTATTTTCATGTTTCTTCCAACATTCGTCTGTAGGCGGACATGCCCGACCTAAGACAAGGTGCAGACACCGCGAACCTTGCCTCGGTTTCGCCTCTTGGAGTGCCTCCTGGGAGGCCCTCGCCACTGCCGCTGTGTTTGCCTCGAGGGCTCGCGTCGCAGCGCACCAGGGAGAGGTCCCGGAGAGCAGCCTGGTGCGGGCAGCGCCAGAGGAGCCAGGGCCCAGGCCCGCCCCGGGCGTCGTGGCAGCACTCACGACGGATGACAATCGGGAGCCTTGAGACGGGGGTCAATTTCGATTCCTCCGATTCGATTCGATTCGATTTCGATGATTTCCGATTCCGATTCGATCCGATTTCGGATTCCGATTTTGGCTCAGATTTCCTAACGAAGGCCGACTAGGCTGCCGATTTCCGCCGATTCGACTTTTCCCGACTCGGCTGCCGATTTCCGCCGATCCGATTCATTTCGATCGCCGATCCGACTTGTCGATTCGATTCTGGGCTCTCCTGAGACGGGGGTCAATGCACACGGGGGTCAGCCAGGGCGCCGGATCTTGCAGGATCCTGCAGGGCCAGGGTCGCATCGACGCGGGTTTGGGCGCAGGATCCTGCAGGATCCTGCAGGATCCTGCAACGCCTGACTGACCCGGGTTTGGACTGACCCGGGTCAGCAGATCCCCGAGATGAGTTCTGCCATTGCACGAATTTGGGGGCCGTCGCGGGGCCCCGGGGCCGCAAAAAAATGGGACGGCTCAGGATGACGCGCGCGTCCATGCTGCAAACAAATCATGACGTCGGGGGTCTGGGGAGGGAGGGATGAGCACCGCGGTTTGCAAAACAGGTGCCGGTCCTCGAGAGGTGTCCAAGCGGGACAGAACCCTGGGCCATCGGTTCCACCCATCCAAGCAAGGTTCGTTGCCTTTCGGCCAAGGCGAGCGAAAGCCGTATCGAAACTCTGCCAACTTTTGCGGGCCACGGCACGGAATTTACACATTGAAATCGGGTCGGGGGCGCAGGATGCCTGAGAATGCAAACATTGAAATCGGGGGTGCGGCGTGTGTGGCGTCGCTCTCATTTTGTTTGATGCTGTTTTGTTGTCCGCAGGGTAAGCTAGATTGCATTTGTTGGGTGCTCCTTGTTGCTCTGAAGCACTAGAAGGAGTACGAGGAGGGTGGCCGCAGGCAGTCTGGGAGGCAGAATGCGCACGCTGGCCAGCCGCTGCCCTCTTCCCGTCTTCCTCCTCCTTCTCTCTCATCTTGGCTCAGGCGTCGTCCCACTGTTTTAGTAGCAGCGCGGTTGAATTCGCTATGCTCTCTGATGTCTGAGCTGTGTGCGGCTTGTCGAAGCACGCGTTCTATAGAAAAACAAGGCTCAGAGAAGACGGGAGTTCAGTGGCACGGTTTTCTCCAGCAGGAGGAGGAGGAGGAAGAGGAGGAGGAGGAGGAGGGGGAGGAGGCGGAGGAGGAGAAGGAGGAGGAGGCTTGAAAAGCCGCCGGTGGACGACATGCCGTCGGAGATCTGGGCATCAGAGCCGCAGGAGGCCCGGAGAGCCCAGCCGCTTCGCGCGAGAGCCGCACGTCGGCGGCGCGGAGCCGGGCGCTGCCGAGCCGAAACCCACGGTGTCCCCGCGCGGCGGCGAGAGGGTGTGTGTGGCGTGCAGACTCGAGGGGCAGCGTCGAGTCGAGAAGACGTGCACTTCGCTCTGGGCAGCGGGCCCTTCTCGTATGGAGGCGTGGGTAAAGGAATGCGCTCAGTATGTTGCAGACCCTGGAGGATTGCTTGATTATCCGATGGGGGCAGCGGTGAAATCCATGAAAGCGCGCCACCGGATCACTCTGTAGTTGAAAAGGGGGGATGTGCTCGCAGAACTCCCCTCCCCCCTTTAAAGGGGGGGGGGAGATTTTCGACCCCCCCCCCTCCCTTCCGCCCTTAAGGGGCGGGGGGGGGTCCGAACCCCCTCTTCCCCCCCTTCCCTTGAAGGTGTTGAGGGGGGTCCAGACCCCCCCCCCCTTCCCCCCTTGGCGCTGGAAGCGGCGGGGGGGGGGTTCGAACCTCCCCCCCCCTCCCCCCCTTTGCGCCGAACAGGGGACCGGGGAGGGGGCCTCCCCTGCAAGGGGGGCGGTCTGGCTGGCCTCGGGATAGTGAGTGGTGAGTAGTGAGTAAAGAGTAGTGAGTGGTAAGTAGTAGTGAGTCGTGAGTAGTGAGTAGTGAGTAGGGAATAGTGAGTAGATAGTAGCGAGTAGTGAGGAGTGAGGAGTGAGTAGTGAGTAGTGCGCAGTGAGTAGTAGTGAGTGGTGAGTAGTGAATGGTGGGTAGCGGGGAGTGGGTAGTGAGTAGTGAGTAGCGAGCAGGGAGTAGCGAGTAGTAAAAAGGGAGTCGCGAATAGGGCATTGCGAGTAGTGAGTAGTGGGGAGGAAGTAGTCAGTAGGAGTAGAGAGTAGGGAGTAGCGAGTCAGTGAGTACTGTGTACGGGGTAGGGAGTAGCGAGTAGCGAGCAGCGGATAGTGAGTAGTGAGTTGTGGGCATTGAGTAGTGAGTAGTGAACAGTGAGTATTCAGTAGTGAGTAGTGGATGGTGGTTAGTGGGTAGTGAGTAGTGCTTAGTGAGTAGTGAGTACTGGGCAGTAAGTAGTGTTGAGTGAGTATTGAGTATTGAGTACTGCGTAGTGAGTAGTAAGTTGGTAGTAGTGAGTAGGGAGTAGTGATTAGTGAGTACTGGGAGCGTAGTGACTAGTGACTAGTGAGTAGTGAGTAGTGAGTAGTGAGTAGTGAGTAGTGAGTAGTGGGTGGTGAACCGTGCGTATTGGGTAGCGAGTAGACTGTTGGGAGTAGCGAGTAGTGGGTAGTGAGTAGTGAGTACTGGGCAGGGGGCCGGGCGTAGCGAGTAGTGGATAGTGAGTAATGAGGTGTAATGAGGTGTGGGCAGTGAGTAGTGAGTAGTGAAGTGTGAGTAGAGAGTAGTGGATAGTTGTTAGTGGGTAGCGAGTAATGATTTGTTCCCTACCTAGGCTCTGCCTAGAAGGGTTCTTGCTCTCTGGGCTTAACGGGGCCGGGCAGTGGAAAGCGCCCCGGGCGGTTCCCCCAGTATCCGCCCTGCGGTTCCCCCAGGTACGCCCCCTTAGCTTAGCGTTGTTTGTCTCACCTCATCTTAGCCTATTTCATCTTAGCTTAGCTTAGCTCCATATTAGTTCAGATCTATGTTAGCTTCGCTTACCTTCATCTTAGCTTCGCTGATGATCTTCACCCTTATTTCAGCATAACATAGCCAAGCAAAGCATAACACAGCACAGCATAGCATAGCATAGCGCAGCATAGCAAAGCATAGCATAGCGCAACATAGCATAGCATAGCATAGCATAGCATAGCAACGAATGCTGCTTTCCTAGGGGTTCCAACTTCTAGGTAGGGTCGCACTGGGGTAATGATTCGTGAGTAGTGGGTAGTGAGTTGTGCTCATCGAGTAGTGAGTCTTGAGTAGCGGGTAGTGAGTCACGAGTCGTCCGTAGCGTGTTGGGAGTAGTGAGTAGGGAGTAGGGAGTAGCGAGTAGGGCATAGGGAGTAGCGGGTAGGGAGTAGTGGGTAGGGAGTAGTGAGTCGTGAGTGGTGAGTAGTGAGTAGTGAGATGTGAGTTGTGAGTAGCGAGTAGTGAGTAGTGGGTAGTGAGTGGTGCGTACTGAGTAGTGAGTACTGTTCGGGGCTAGGGTTGGGGCTTGTGGTGGTTAGGGTTAGGTGGTACGGTACAAGGTGAGGATTAGGGTTAGGGGTGGCAGGGGGCGGGTTCCGGAGCTCGGGGGCTCCGTGGCGAAGGGGGGAGAGAGGGGGGGGGGGGGGCTTCGAATTTGTCCAGACAAAGGGAGGGAGGGGGGGAGGGGGGGTGGGAGGTTCGAACCCGCCCCCCCCTTTTATGAAATGGGTGGAGAGGGTGGGGTGTCCCAACGAACGGATCGGGAAAGAGGGGGAGGTTCCCTGACGACGGATCGGGAAAGTGGGGGGGGGTCCCGTAAAAGCGCGAGAACGCCCTATAGGTCCGTTCCCGTTCCCGTTCCCGTTCCCGTT